TGGAAAGAACCCTTTAACAGGCCTTTTTTATCTGCCTTGCTGATAGGCACCTTTCAGTTACCGTTTTCAGAGCTGAAGAGCCGCCCTCTGCGTGGCGTGACTGGCCCTGCAGCTGCTCCACACTCGTGGTCACTGACACTGGCCGCCTCTGGRCGATTTTTGGTTCCATTTGGTGTTTTCTGAGATAACCAGAACATTTGGCAGTGTTAAGGATGTGGGCACACTGTTTCTGTGGAAAATGGCTTTTTAATGGAGAATTCTCACTGCAACTTCCTGCCTAGCAATTCAAAATTATACAATTTTGAAAAAAAAAGAAAACTGAAATTAAGATTATGTATAAATAACTTTGGGACCATTTTATATATATATATACACACACATACACAGAGATGTATATATATACATATTTACATGTGTGGGTGTGGGGATATATATATATATATATACACATATATATATATATGCTTACTACCCAGGATATAGAAGTTTGAGGCTGTAATACAAGAGAGATTATAATTTTGATAAAGTCATATAGCAATTTAAACAAAGAGGCTTTTATTATTTTTACAAAGCCATAAGTATAGCCATGAGGAGAGGGAGGGTTTTCCCTCACATTCCTCCCAGCAGACCTAAAGCAACAGTGTCCTTAAGGAACAGTGAACACCAGACCCCTTTGAGTTGTGGGAATTATCTAAAGGTACCTCAAAGGAGTATGTGACCTCCAGGAATAYTGACAGTGTTTCCTAATTTCTTTGGTCAAGATTTCCCTCATGCAGGAGTCTAAAGGACCAATAGAGTTCACAGACACCAGCAGGCCCGAAGATGAGCTTGATGTTCAAGAAGAGGTACGTGCTTTGGAACTTAATTGGTCTGTTATTTAAAGGACACTTTTTATTCCTTTGCCTTCCTGTTATAGTATGTGGGATGAACTGAGCCCTCAGCAGTTGCAGCTGGTTCAACCCCCTCCTTTTTTGATTGGCATAAGCACTGCAAGAGATCCCAGTACTCCTTTTCATCACCCACAGTACAAACACATTCCTCCCACTCCTCTGGTGAGTGGGCCAAGCCCCTCTCACCGTGGGGAGAAGCTCTTTCTGTGCCTCTATGCAGAAAGCAGTGAAGGATTCACAAGGCTGTGGGGACAAGCAGGCCAAAAAGCCCTCACTTCTCATTCCCCTTCCCAAAAGAGCTTAGTTATTTACGCTGCAGCCACTAAACAAGATAAAGAACACAGGCCAAGGCCACACTGTTCTGCGTGGTTTCCACCCTCCACCTCACRGCCTGTTCCTGAAGCTCCAGATCTGCAGCTTCCTGGCGGAACCATCTCATGTAGACACCAGTCAGAGGGAACTTGTTTCAGAACAGACCTTTTACAGTCACTGTCCTTGTACTGCCACTGAAGCCAGGTGGAATTTATTAGTAACGTAGGAGCACGCGTGAATGTTTTATTTTCCAGGCAGTGTGTACTCAGAACTAACCACTGTCTCTTTCTCTCCACCTCTGGGAAAATGTGTCGATAGGCGATGCGCAGACTTGCCTCCTGAAGAGGACCTGCTGGCACTGCCACAGCTGTGAGCTCACAGCAATATTTATGCACCCATGTTACATAAGCATTTTCTGAACTGGAACCAATCGTTGCACTTGAAGAAAACCCTGYTTCCTTGACTGAATGATGCAGATCTCTAGAAATTTCCACGTTTGACTATCGTTATCCCCGAAATACTCCAGACTGGTTCAGTGAGCAATTTCTGATCTGATACTATTGCAGAAGATGTCATCGGGTTGGCACTGGTCAGGGGGAAGGTGCATGGCAATGATTTATCAGTGTGTACCAGAAGAAAAGCTGCTTTGTGTTAACCTGGCCCAGGGGAGTTAAAGAGACTTTTTTTTTTTTTTTTTTTTTTTGTTATGTATTTGTTGAATGTCTAGCAGGAGGGCAGGAGTTCTAGCTGGCCAAGGCTTTGTAATCATTAGGATACTTGCTGGCAAAAGTCTTGGGGGAAAAAAGGTGTTTTGAAAGCTCTTTCCAAGCAATTCCTTGAATTGCTGCAAGTTGTTACATACCTGAAATGTGGGATGGGTGAAACGTTAATGCAAACACAAAACTGAGCGCTGCCCTGCTATAAAACAACAGTTAGGATACATTTCAGTAGAAAAGGCCCTTGGACAATAGTTCATTAGTTCTGCATTAATTAATTCCAGTGAAGCAAATCATGCACTATCTCTAATAATAATAATAATAAATTAAAAATCAAAAAATCAAATATACACATAAGATTATTTTGCATATGTTACATTATCTATAGCTGATCAAAAGGCAGATGATGACGTAGATTAACAAAACCCTTACTCCACAAATAGTTAATGAAATTTGTAGAACTGGCTGCTACTGAACGCAAGTAAAAGTTAGAATGGGAGCTAGGATCAAGGKTTTTTTTAATGAATTTTAGGAGTTTAGTTAGTTTAATGAATAGTTTTATTTTTATATATATTTTTAATATTATACATCAACCAGCTGCTGTTCTTTTATGGGAAATGTATAGGCATTTGACAGTCCATAATGCTTAAGTGCAATAATTTACACAAGACACTGGACTCAAATTGCAAAATTTGAATCCTTGATTTTATGACTACATAAAATACATATGCAAGAAATCAATGTTGTTAACTTCCATAAGGAAACTTGTTTTGATGGAAAACAGACTATCGTAAATATTGTAGCACAATCCTAATTCTTAAAATGGAGAAAAAATGGTGAAGAGAAGGGATATGTAATATCAAAATTATAAAAATACAGATTTCAAAATTCCTTTGATATTTAAGCTTCACAATGTGGGTAAATTAGCTTTAGTACATTCACATATTCAAGTGTCCTTATTCAGTCATGTCAGACTCTTTGTTCTATCACACTACACAGGGAAGACTGTTACTGCAGGTAACATTAATGGAAAACCTCAGGTGAAAAGCCAAGCACTAGGTAAGTTATTCAGCTCTAAGGACCTGAGTGAACTCTTTCAAAATCAGTGAAAAACTCAAAATAAGCAAAAACTTGGGGACAGGATCCTTTCACAAGGGGAAACCGCACCAGACTGGTGTCTTCATTCTCTTAAGAAGACAGAAACTTCAACCGTTTGGTCAAGCTCCTTATTTCAAATGCAATACAGGTTTCATCCCAGATGATATGGATGTTCTGGTTCAAACCCATAAATTGTAGGCCTGTATTCAGAGTGASGCGTGAGCAGTTCTTAACTCAGACAGGCTCCTCCACAAGCTGGGAGTTAGATACAGGCTTCCAGGAACCAAATCTGACCGATCTGCACCTCGTAGGATGAAAGTACTGACTAAAGCCACAGTAATGCCTGTGCTGTGGCTGTGATTTGACACTTTAGGTTTTTAGGAAGTAGTAGTAAACTCTTACTGGCTTCATTCTCTTCCCTCTCCAGCACAACTCAGGAGGTTGGCGCTTCTGCYGACATTGCTGACAAACCTTTCCTATCAGGCCCTCAATTTCTATTAGCCTGAATAGAAGCCACTGCTGCCAGTGCACACAGCAATGAAGGATAAAGCCAGTGTTTCTCAGAGGATGTATTGTTTTTCTAAAGTGGATGTACATTTTATATATTAAAAAAAATGCAAAAAGAAACACTCTACTTGGGGCTGATAAAGGAGCTTTCTGCTATTTTTATGCAGAACATGCACTACAGGAAAAATGTTATTGAAAAGATAGCAGTGAATGTTTTGCCCTTGAGCAAACATCTGCACTGCCAAGTTTTAGCACGGATTCTTACTGGACAAAAATGTGGCCTTAGATTATTTTTGAATCATCTCTAGTTGTCGCCCCAAAAAGTATTTATAAGCAATCAAAAAAATGTAAATTATTCAACAGTCCTCTAGCTTCATTTACAGGTATGGCATTTCATCTGGAATTAGTTGTGATAAAATAGAATGCAATGCACTTATTTAGCCTGCATACGTCTTCAAGGCAAGGCTGCATCTCTTCTTGCAGCAAGAAAAGAAAGAAAAAAAGAAAACCAAAAGGAAGAGGCGGAAGGCATCAGATGCCCTTTGCAAGGAGCCAGGCAACGTGTGCCCTTCAATGCGCTACCCATCCATCAAAATGAAGGATAATTCAAAATAACTGGGTTTGTAATGAAGCTATATTGTGTACAAATTTGTACTAATTCAGGCACGTGTAAGTAATACAACTGTATGTGCTCATCTTTTTTTTTTTTTCAGCTCAATGCAAAATTGACATTTTAGCCTGCATTTTGTGATTACTATTGTCCTTACATGTCAGTTCTTAAACTCGGGAGTATTTTTTTAATCCTTTCTGAAAGGCTGCATTTTAAGTTTCTGTAACCATTAACTAAAAAATAAAGTTGTGTGTATTGAGRAGACACTGCATGAATGTGTTTTGGTTTTTTTAAGAAGTCTTAAGTGATTTCTTATTACAAGGTAGTAAAGCCTACGATGTAGGGAATGTTTCTCATTTCCCTTGCATTTGCCACTTATTTTAGGCACTTATTTTAGTCGGAAGGGAGAAATCTGTTCTCTGTTCCTTGTGGGGAAGGCAGAAGCGGCTTAAACGCCACTTCGTTCAGGCTACGCTTAACGCAGGCTCCCGCCGCCATCTTCGGGAGCGCCCCCGCCCTCCCGCTCCGCCCCCACAGCGCATGCGCGGCCCCGCAGGGCGCCCCCTGCTCCGCCCCCAAAGCGCATGCGCGGCCCCGCGCGGCGCCRCCAGCCCCACCCCCAGGGCGCATGCGCGACCCCGCAGCGCGCTCCGGCCCCGCCCGCGGCTATCCCAGCGGGCCCTGCGGCACCCCCCCGGTCCTCCTTGTCGCGGTGCCTGCTGGGAAAGAGAGGCGCCCGTTGCGGCGGCGCGCGGTGCCGCCCCCGCGGGATCCCCCGCGGGATCCCCCGGGGCGCCGCGGTGGCCCGGCGAGCGGGTCCGCACCGAGCGCCGCGCCAAGGACTCGTCCCGGGCGCGGCCTTTCCCGCGCCTGCCCGCCCGTTGCCCGGCACCTTCCGCTTCCGCCCCCGCCCTTCCGCTCCCAGAGTTCCGCGCGCCGAATCATGGACCACAATGGTGAGGAGGGGAGAGGCGG